TTAATGTATTCATTTACGATCTATGTTTTATTCTATTTATATGTCGAACATCAATGAGACAATCTATTCTTTGTTGGATGACTTTGAAGATTTTTTCTTGCTGACACTTTTCAAGGAAACTCTGGATTAGAATTGCTTTCATTTAGGATATAGTAGTCAAGTATGCATAGTTTTGAATGAAAACTGTGACTTTGAAATTTTCATAGTAAACTAAGACTAGTCAAAATTTGGAATTATCACAATTTTCAGCTACAGTTATAATATCAACGAGCGTCATAACTATGAACCGTACTTATCACCTACAAAATGAATTATAACTATCAATCGTAGTTATAACTTTTCATCATAATTATAGCCGTGAACTTTAGAATTGTCATCAGTTTCATTAGAATCACTAATCAACATTACCTTTAACATTGTTCATCATTTCAGACTAACTAAAACTATTAGTCATATCCGTGCCATAAATAAGAGAGGTTTCTTCAGACATCAACATGATATCAGTTGCTTGTTCCCCTGAGTAATGTAACAAAAGGGACTTTCTTCGAGTTTGTCTTACAAAAAGATAATGGTTGCTGTTCGTGCGCATAGAAAAAAAAGAGAGAAAGAAAAAAAGAAAGAATGTTGTTGTTCATTGATTTAGTCATCATCAGTTGTGTTCATAGAAAAATAGCTCATTGTTCTCGTTTAACGATCATTGATATTATCGGTCAAATAAATAAAATAATCATATCTATATAAATATCCACATTAAGAAGTAGAAAAAAATTCATGTATAGACGTTATGCTAAACATGGAACATTTATTGGTTGAATTAAATGATTTACCAGATGAAATTTTGTTGATAATTTTTAAAAAATTAGATAACATTTCATTATTATACTCATTAATAGGTGTTAATAAACGACTTAATACCATTGTACGTGATCCAATATTTACACGTCATTTAAAACTAATGAGATATTTCTCGAATGATTCTATTGAACCATTACCTGATGCAATCCTTAGTCGTTTATGTTCAAAAATTTTACTTGAAATTCGTAATCAAGTTCAATGGCTTGATCTTGAAGCATCATCTATTGAACGTATATTACTGGCTACAAATTATCCGAATTTATATGGACGTGGTTTATTTAATCTTGACACAGAAACAGCTTTATCTCTATTCGATGGTGAGATATTTCCATTCTTTCATTAATCAATATATATAAAGAAGAATGTCTGTCTGTCTGTTCTTTACACATTGAATTCTTGTAAGAAGCAGTGCGATAGAGAGGTTCTCGCTTGAGTTTTTGAAAATTGGCAAAATCTTCGTTGGATTTTTTCAAAAAGTTTTGGAAAGTTTTCTGATCTTTAGAGTTCTATTCTCCTGCTTTTACCTCTTCGCGTTATCCCTAGGTAGAGACCACTTTTTGTTCTAAAAAATTTTACTTCCGATGGCATTTAGTTGCCCATTGTATGAGTATTACAGTGAGTATCCTATCCAAAGAATCCGTTCGTATAACTGTTTTGTCAATAACTTGAAAATGAAAGAAGATAAAGATCTGCGATTTTTGCAGTTGGATACAAAGAGATTCTAGGCTGTGAAAGTATGCTCAAGTTTATTTGATCTATCTGATGACTAATCGAACTTTCGCATACTTTCATGATCAGTAATTTGAAATTATACGAGACCGTAAGACACAAAAAGCTCATTAAAAGCAATAAATAAGATTAAACTAATTGGAATGAGAAAGAAATGTAAGCACATTTTGCAACAGTCAAAATAAATCTAAATCAATAGTTTTATTATTGATTTTTATTTTTATTTAGATCAATCTTCATTAATCCATATAAATAAAAATCAAATCTCATCGCTGATTATCGATATAACTAAAAAAAAGAAAATCAAAGATCAATGAACTATACTAAAATATTTGTATTTACACAAATCTTTATTCAATATCCTAATTTACAATATTTAAATTTTTGTCCATCTTCAAGTTTATATGTACATTTATCATTTTCTAATTCATCTCCAATTTTCGTATCGTCAAATCTATTAGAATTACATGTTTGTTTGACAAATTTTACTGATTGCCTTTATATACTCGATGGACGTTTTAATCAACTTCGTACTTTTTATGTTAATATTTCTTTGATAAAATCTGGAAATAAAAATGTTGATAAAGAGGTAAATTATTTTAATTTATATTTAATATTTATTCGAAATATTTCATTATATTTTCATTTTTATAGAAAAAACTGTCGAATTTAAAATGTTTTTCATTACACTGTTATAAAATGACAGATGCTTATAATGAAGTAATTTTACCATTTCTATATCGAATGTCAAATTTAGAAGAACTCGATTTAAGTCTTTTTCTTTCGGTAAAAGAAAAATTTCTTGATGGAAATGATATAAAAAAAAATCTTCTCAATCAAATGATACAATTAAACAAATTTACATTTAATATTTACTCAATTGTTTATTGTCACAATCAAATTAATTTACAATCAAATGAAGATATACAAAATACATTTAATGATTATAAATATAATAAAATTATTTGTTCTATTGATTATTTGAAAAAACGTTCTAGTCAATGTCGAATTTATTCATATCCATATAAATTGAAATTTTATAATTATATAACAAATAATTTTTCAGGTGAATTATTCAAATGTGTTCGTCAAATATCATTATTCGATGAAAAACCATTTGAACATGAATTTTTTCTTCGAATTGAGAAATCATTTCCATTTTTAGAGAATATTTCTATACGTAATTTTCAACCACAAAATAATAAATCATGTACAGAATCAAACAAGGATAATCAACATTTATCAATTGTGAAATATCCGTATCTTACTAATCTTTCACTTATTAAAGTTCATGATGATTACATTGAACAATTTTTAGTTTATACAAAAGTATCTTTACCAAACACTGTTCATCTTAACATTAGTTATGAACCATTAAAAAGAGTGACAAACAATTTTACAAGAAATGCAACACAAATCAATTGTAGAAAATTAAAGTCTTTGTGTGTAAATGTTAGTGAAATTTCTAAACATGTTCAAGATTATTTTCTTCATACAGAGATAATCTGCCTATGATTGAATTTGATACAAATAAGATTCCATTTATAGAATAAAACTATTCAAATAGAGATAACTGCTTTTCCTATTTCATTGATAGAAACTAAATTTATATGGAAATAATCAGAGAAGATAAGATGCGATTGATGAAAAACTAGTAAAGAAAATATTCTAATGAACAATACTTAAAAATAACATCGATAAAGATAGCTATTTGATATGATATAAGATGGAATGTGTCTTACATTTGATGCCATTATTAAGGTCAAGACTTTAAAATAATAAACTCATAACACACACTGTTGGCAACTATCACGAGCTAAATTCACCTTACACTTTATAGTTTCATCTAAAATATAGAATTTTTGATTAGAAGAACTTTTCTTGTATATATATATGTATTTTCTAACCCAGAATCCATCATTTGCTACTGATTCTTCTTCCAAATCAGGATATTCTTATACAACTATTGAACAAATTCTTCAATATTCTCTATGTCTTGATCGTTTTCATAATCCACGTGCATTATCATTTCAACATATATATTGTTATTCATATCTTAAAAGAATTATTTCATCGAATATTCTTTGTTCAATAATAACTTGTTCAATATGTCGTCATATATTTCCATATGATAATTCAATTCAATTTTCTAAATCATATATTCATAATCAATTATTTGATTTAGTTCTAATTAATTATAATATTAAAGAAAAATATGTAGAATGTTAAGAAATTTATTTATTAAATTTATGTCCATGTTGTGATTATTATTTATGTAAAAAATGCTTTAAAAATGATATCGAGAAAATACATTAATTAATCTTACAAATATTTTTGCAAACATGTTGAAATATTCTTGATTCTATGCAAACAACATCATCATTAGAAATAAATGATTTATTACATAAAACAGATTTATTATTATTAAACAATTCTAAAACAAGAGAATTTAATGAAATGTTTATTCCTTTTTGATCGGATAAAGTCCATTCATGAACAAATAAATACATTATCAATAACAATAGCAAAATGAACACACTAAAACGTCATCAAACATGTCCAAAAATAAACGATACTAATAATAATAATCCCATAAAAAATGAAGTAAAAAAATCGATAGTTATTTTCATAAAAAGAAATACTTATCAATTTCATAATTAATATTGCACGTACATTCATTTGTCTCGTGTATTTAAATAATCTAGAGCAAAGAAGTTTAATAGCAATTGTAACCGATAGAATTTCAACTAAAAACTTTTAATTTGTTAGAATGTAAAGGTCTGTAGCATTGTTTCTTTTAAAATCTATCAGAATACTGGAAGATATTTTTTATTCAGATGATTGTTTGTCTATCGAGTAACTTTTTTTTATTTTGTTCTTCAGATTGTTAAACGACCAACAAGTGCTAGTAGTATAAGTGGTAATTCTTGTTGTGCAACAACAACAAATCAACGAACTCGTTCAAATTCATTCTCTGCATCTATATCATCATGTCAACAAATACATACAACATCTCGTTCATCATTAAAAACAAAATTAAATAAACAAATAAATAATTCAAATTCAATAAAACCATCTGTTCCTCCTATTTCAACCCAAAGTAATTTATTAGATAAAATTGATTTAAATGATGAAGATGATTTATTAATTAAATATCAATCAAAAAAAAAAAAACTCCAAATAATAATGATGAAATTATATCAACAATGAATAAATTGAATTTAAATATTCAAACAATGATTGATACGAAATGAAATGCATATAAAACATCATTTCATCCTGGAGAATAAGAACAAAATGATGATGATGATGAAGTTCAAGTCGTAGTAGTGCTATTCAATCAAAAGTTTCATTAATTCAACCAAGAAGTGTATGAAAAGAATTTTTTTTTTGATTTATTATTTGTATTCATTTTGGATTTAGATGATTTTGAAAAACTTGAACAGTATAATGAAAAACATCCATCAATGATCAGTATAGCATCTTATGTTGATAAAGTCATTTTTGTTAAAGTAATAATTTTCTGTCATTAATTACGTATACGATATGGAATTATTCAATAATGATGTGATTAATGTCTTTCTTTCTTTTGTATAATAATATGAAATGTTTAAGTATTGATAATTATATCATCTAGTCTGACTTGATCAGCTGTTAGAACGATTGTCGTAGAATTAAAGTGTGAAACACACTGAAGTTACTTACAGTGTAAACGAGGAAAATCACGAACATATGTTCCAGTTTGTGAATTATTACTTACTTTTAATATATGTCGATCATAATATGTGATAGTGAATGTGAAGGAAAGGGAAAGGACAAGAATCTTTAATTCAATTGTGCTTTACATTAATCTTGCAGTAGGGTGTGGGTGTGGGTGGGTGTGGGTGTGGGGTGTGGGTGTGGGTGTGAGGGTGTGGGTGTGGGTGTGGGTGTGGTGTGGGTGGGTGTGGGTGTGGGTGTGGGTGTGGGTGTGGGTGTGGGTGTAGGTATGAGGTGTGAGTGTGGGTATGGGTGTGTGGTGTGAGTGTGGGTGTGAGTGTGAGTATGGATGAAGACAATACCTACATCCACACCCACACTCCACACCCATACTCACACCCACACCACACCCACACCCACACCCACACCACACCCACACCCAAGAGGCAAGCAAAAAAAAAAATTATTGGCTAATTTTTTTTATCCATGAGTCTTTTTAGAACGAGAGATGGCGTATATTTCTAAATCAACGAGAGCGATGAACTAAAAGAACTGATTCAAGTGAATTTTTGAAGATCTTTTTTGAAAAATAAAGTGCAAAAAAAAAATATGAACAAAAATATAATGATGCAGGTTAAGTTAGAATGAAAAGCAAAACTTATAGGAAAAAAGCTGTGATTAAAAAATAAATGAAGAAAAAAAAACTTAACGAATACTAAATTATCCTAGGGCGAGCGTAAGCATGTGGGTGTAACCTGAATCTAGAACCAGTGTGAGAGTTAAAACTAATTTCCAAAAAGTTGATAGTTGAGAAAAACGGGAAAAAGTTAAAATGGTTATAACTTGGGTTATAACTATCAACTATAGTTATAACTTTCAAGTTCTTTATTTATTGACCAGATTTAATTAAGTTGAAATGATAATCACTTTGATTTATTGACATACTCGATAGAATAGATGAACATACAAGTATTTCAAACGTCTTTCACTTCAAAAAAGCAATATTTCAGAATTCTTCTTTGAGTGTTTTTTGATATATTCATTTGTAATCTATGTTTTCGTTTATTGGATACATCAAGGTTGAGCATAGGTGTAAGAGATAATATACTATACATTGTAAAATCAATGATTATCTTCCAGTTGCGAACAGCTGAGAAAAATATCTGAGAAAAGAAATTGCTTTATATAATTCTAATTTGAATTATTTGAAACAACAATCATCTTTAACATCTATTGTGAGGAAATTAAGATAAGATTCTATCTTGTATAGTTACATGTGTTGTATTCTAATACGAAATCGCTGTATCAGGTAATTCTCTATCCACTTTCATACGTAGGCTACTAATTATATCAGCACGTATTGTATTCTACTTTTCTCTCGTTTCTCCTTGTTGATATGTCGACGAGCAAAGAGAAGAAACAGGACAATAAAGAAATCAAGATGACGAGTGCGCAAAGGAAAGGAAAGATTGAAAGAATAGAAGATGCAACCATTATCTTTTTGTAAGACAAACTCGAAGAAAGT